ACTAGAATTGTTCCATTTAGGCTATCTCAGAGCAATGAGTCCAAACTATTATGTACCTCAATGTCCATATTATGACGCTCTACTTGATGAGGGACCTACTTCTTAGGATCCTATGTTCTCAGTCCAGAATGACTGCTGTTGGCCCAAGTCACACTTCACCTGTACCATAGGAACCTCCCCTGCTGATTCTAATCCTCGCCGTTGCCCATTTGTTTACTGAAATTGAGTATCACCCCATGTAATATGTCATGTGTTCTCTGTTGCCAAACTGTGTATTTCATAGTCTCCCAAGATAGACTGCGTGTTCTTTGAACATGTGGTAGTAAGAGCACAACAGGCACAGTTACAAAGGACACTAGAGTACAAAGAATATGGAGGAATGGTGAGAGATGAAGCTAAAGAGGGAAGTGAGGACCCAATGGCAAAGCACTTCATAAGCTTGATAGAGTTGCAGTTTTGTCTAGTGGACAATGGGGAGCCAATAGCATTAAGCAGGGACATACATTTTTGAAATAGTATTAGGCATAGAAATGCATTTTTTTAATGATCATTCTAGCTGGAGTATAGAGAATCGAGTGGAGGGAAGTGGTGTTACAGACAGGTTGTCCATTTAAGAAGTGGTTGAAGTAACAATGGTATGGCAGGAGGAAAATGCCGTGTTGATATAGATTGAATCAATCTATAAACAGGTATTAGCACCTTTGTAGGTGGCTTCTGTACAAGTTAAATAGTTCTCCAATGCTTTTTTGAATGTTCAGCAGATATTTCTTTGGGTAAAAATCTGTGATGACAGTGACCATGAGGCTGTTCAGCTTTATGCAGGTTACATCCATAAGCAATGAAAATGGCCAAATCTAAATTACCAGCAGGATGAAGAAAACAAGACATCTTTGTGAAATATTGGCATTAAAAATCAAAGATCTTATTAAATGACTTAATTTGGGCATTAAGGGAATATGTGTATGGAGGTGTCATTCACTGAGATAAGTCATACAAGAAGAAGCAGGTTTGGGTGAGGTTTGGTGATGAATACAGTTTGGGGCCTGTTGAGTTTAAGGTGCTTATGTGCATGCAGGTGAATATATCTGTCAGGCAATTAGATATAGGTCTGAAGCTCAAAACCTGAAATGGAGATTAGATTGGGGATTATCAATTTACTCATGGTAATGGCAAATCTGGAAGTAGATGACATCAACCAAGGCAGGGATGTATCATTAAGAAAGAGAGACGGGGGCCTCCCTGGTGGCACAAGGGGTTAAGCACCGCACTATGGGCAGTCCGCCTCTGCAGCATGAGTTCGATCCCCGGCCTGCCAGGGAGCTACCCACATGGCGCAGCAGACCTCTCCTGGCTCACCCGCTGCTCCCCTCAGCAGTGTATTTCAGCAGATCTGCCTGTTCTGTTTCCTGCTTTGTCTCTCATGAATCCTCTCACTCCCCACATCTCTGGCCTGTACCCCCGCTCTTGCGTGCATAGATAAATGAATCTTTAAAAAAAAAAAAAAAAGAAAGCAAGAAGGCTTAAAATTAAACTCCCAGGAATATCAATATTCAAGAGAAAGCTAAGAAATGGTAGCCTACTAGTGACAAGGAGGAAGAGACCTGACTAGTAGAAGGAAAACCAGAAATGTATGTGGTCAAGAAAAGGCAAGGGACATAAGCTTTCAACAGGAAGGGAATGGTTAATATCAAATACTGCTTAGAGGTCACGTAAAGCCAGGTACTTTTTTTTAAGAAGCCATTTGGTTTGACAGCATTCGTGACTCTGATAAGAGTGCCTTTGGTAGAGTGCTAATTAATTGGAGTCGGATTGCTGTGGTAGAGTGGGAGGTGAAGAAATGGAAAAAGTGAAAATAGATCACTCTTTTGAGATGTTCAGCTGGGAAAGGCGGTTTTGGCATTGAAGCAGATCAGTTCCCAGGTGTGTGCACATCAGTGGGCACATGTGGCACAGGTGAACCCTGAATGAAATCAGATGGGTGAGTAGAATGAGTGTCTGCCCGGAGGAAACCAGTGTGCAGCACAGTCTCCCACATGCTCAGCCTCTGTGGCCAGTTTCTCCGGTCTGTTTGGACAACCGTGGCAGATTAGGGGCCTGGGGCTGCACTTAAAAACATGGGCTGTCTTCAGCTAGAGGGAAGAAAGCTGAGTAGGGAGCTTCATACTACCTTCCACACGCAAAGCCCCAGTTGTTTATAGCAGTACTTACAGTGATCCAGCTGAGCTTACACGGTGCTCAGTTTCATATTTCAGTAAATCAAAATATATTGATGGGTGAGGGTGGAGACAAATGTCTAAATGAGAGCACACAGATTCTGCTGACAGGAACAGACAAGAGAGAAAATAGAGGCCTGTGCTTCAGCATAATCAGACCTTATGAAGAGCTTACTGATTCTAAGACTGTGTGGCAGCATCATACATTATCAAAAGATCTTATAGAGTCCCCACCTTTTGAAAGTTTTAAAGCATCTGTTGGATAGCAATAATTTAGGAATGCTTGAAATACAGGCGTCCTTTGAGTCAGGAAACTGGATCAATTGTTTTTTCAAGCCCCCTTCCAATTCCATGAAGGTTTTCCTACAGAAATAGAATCTAGTTCCTAAAGTTCCTTTTTACTTTCCTTGCATTTCAAAACAAAAGGCACCCAACAAGGGAAGGCCCATCTGTGATAATATAGTAGCTTTGTAAGGTGGGACGTGATGTGGAACAATCCTCCTCTTATTGGCTTGCTTCTAGAATTTTCTGAGGCAAACCTGAGCCTCAGGAAGAATCAGTCCTCAATGGCATGGCATGTCCTAATCATCAGCAGCTCATGATGGCTTCCCTATAGTAATTCTAATAACTGCTACCTCTTGTTGAGAGCCTACTATGCACCAGTTACTACGCTAAGCATCTTATTCACATTGTTCCATTTTATCCCTACAATCCAGCCACCCTTGAGAAGTAGGTATAATTATCCCCACCTACAGAGGAGAAAACTTGTAGTCCAAAGGATTATGTATTATGCTATGACCATGAGTTATAAATGATACAGTGAGATTTGCACAAGCTTTCTGACCCCCAGCGCACACTTTCCCAACTTTTATATTTTCAACTACAATCAAAGTTGACTGAACATCACTGTATTTAGTGGCTGACAAATCACTGTTGGTGGAGGAGCATGCTGTTTACTCACACCATGTGTATTTGGTGGCACTTAGGACATAGTTTAATAAAATCTAATCATCTCAAGAAATGAAATTTGCTTTGACAATAAAATCAGCCATTTGTTCAAAATCAATATCTTTTTTTGATTTACTGAAATGGGAAACTGAACTCTGGGTATAAACTCTGAAGCGTAACTGCCCTTTGTAAGCACTGCTATAAACAACCAGACCTCTCACTTCAGGAGATGAGTTGATTATGAAGATAGTGGGCTCTTTATTTTTGTTGCTGCTTTTGAATCATCCTGCTCTGGTAACTCACTGCCATGTCCTGCCTGACTGGAATAGAATTGGAGGTTAGACTAAGTCTCTTGGTGCAATAGCAAATTTGAAGGTTGATTTACTCCTTAGAGGCAGCCTAATACTCTTGCAAAAAAAAAAAAATCAACCCAATAGCAGATACACAAGCAGCATGGACCCTTAGTATGCACAGATAATCCTGGTGACACACTATCCATAGGCGCACATTTTGAGGTGTTTATCTAGAGTATCTTATACATAACCAGTCCCCCATAAAATATTGTTGGATCAAATACATATCCCCCACCTAATGGGTAGAGGGAGGCATCATTGTAGTCGTGCAGGAAGGATGGTAACTGGTTCTTTGACAGAGGAAACTTTGGCCCTATGCATTTAATCTATTGAGCTAGCCTACTGGGAATCCCACTTATTGATGTTGGACTTCCCTTCCAGAATATTCCCACCTTGTAATAACATGCCAATTTCTCCTCAAATGCCTCTTGTGGTAAGGAGCTCACTACCTTCCCAAGGGAGTTCATTCCCTCTTTGACTGGTGCACAACTCTTCTGGGAAACTTTTAACTTCAACTTTTTAATCTTCCTCTAACTTTCACCATCCAGTCTTACAGCAACCTCAGGCCCTCTGCTATAAATTCAATCTGTTTTCTGTGAAATAAATACTGGGTACTTTCATTTATGTTATCTTATTCAAGCCTCATGAATATCCTTCAAGGTAAGTATATGTTCCCCTGTATTTAATAAATAAGGAAAACAAGGTTCAAAGTTGTTGAGTAACTTTGTCAGGGTCACAACCAATAAGTAGCAGAGTGGAAATTTGAATCTGGTTGAAGTGACACCACAGTTCACATTCTTTTCACCAAACTACTATATCAAACTGCCTCTTCCACATGACAGCCCTCTCAACATACGTGCACAACTCTCTGAGGACTCCTAAATCACATCCCCAGTTCATTTAACTCTACCTCAGTTGGCATGGCCTTGAGTTTCATCACCATTCTCCTCCCCCTTCTCTGAATCTGTTCCCATGTATCTATATCTTTTTGAAAGTGGGGCTTCTAGATATGAATAAAATAATCAAAATGTGTTCTGGGTAACTCCGAGGTAGAAGGGGGATGTTCACAACCCTCTTTCTATATTCTCTGTTTCTGTGCATTTTATCTGGTGGCTTTCCAAAGGACTTTTCTCAAACAATGTTTACTTCAAGCAACATAGGTCCCATTTTATAAAACTGATGCAAAAAGAAGATTAAAAAAAAAAAAGTATGCCAGCACCTTTCCTACTCAGGCTCACTCCACTCAGTAGCTCACACAACAATCCCCCATGTTCTTTTGCAAAATGCTAAGAAAATAAAGAGCACTTATTAAGAAACCACAACTAATTTTGAATTGAATTTTGGGACACTTTTGATATATGTGATTATAGAGGACTAAAAATTTACATGTCATCATTGTATACTTGAACAGTTGATTATTTGCATCAGAGTGCAAGCTCTTACATTAGTCTATATTGAATTCCATCTCATTAGATTTAGTCCATACCTCTATAATCTTCTGTTATTATCCAGCATCTTCAATATCCTTCCCAGCCTTGTGTCACCTATGGATTTTATAAATTCCTTTTATGTCTTCATCCATGACAAAACCAATGGTTAGATCTACCAAGACAAAATTGTGCCACCACTAGACTAGTTATCTATTAGATTATGGACCTGTTTAAACTATACTTATGGGTATTTATTCATAGTAGATCAGGAAGTCAATAGCATGGCCTATGACCAATTTTTTAAAAAGGGGGGGGGGCGCCCTGGTGGTGCAAGGGATTAATTCTCAGCACTATGAAGCTATCCGCAGCCACTGCAGCACGAGTTCGATCCTGTCTTGCCCGCTGCTCCTCTTAGCAGTGTGTTTCAGTCAATCCATCTGTTCTGTTCCCCACTCTGTCTCTAATAAATCCTCTCCCCACCCCCTCACCTCTGGCCTTCACCAGTTTTTGTATGCATAAATAAATAAGCCTTTAAAAATAATAAAAATAAAAGGAGGGGAAATAGAATTTTAACAATTCAAAAGTGTTATGTGAGATAAGAATAAGTAATATTGTGTCATGAAATCTTTATTTCAATTGTATATTCTGGATAAGGGTGTAAAATATAGTTATTACAGTCAAAACAAGTTTGAAAGCCACTACCTCACCTGTATTTTCCCCCAACTCATCCACAGAGATACCATGAGAAATCTTACCAGATTGGTATTCATCAACACCATTTCATCTATGAACTAAAGAAACAACTGTCTAAATAACACATTTTCAAGGACTTGAATTTAACATCAGATTCCCTCCATGCAGTTTGGGGGGGCACCTCTTCCAGTTCTTCTTGAAGTCAGAACTATGCTTAACTATGTTTAAGATTTCGAACCTTCCCCAGCACCTCATCTGCTGTCCACATTTTCTCAGTAGTCACAAACAATAGTTCCAAAAGCCTATTTGCAACTTCTCTCAAATAGGTCATTTCTTCCTAGACAGGAAACGTGAACTCAGTGTAAAGAAGAATGGTGCTTTACCCATCTTGGATCTTCGTAATTTTGAATGAATCAGCATTCTTTATGGTCATTCTCTTCATAGAGAAAACAAAATTCTCCCCTCTCTCATCCATGAGTATTGTACTTGCTGCCCCAAGCAGCAAACCTCTGCCTTCCCTGGTTGTGTTCCACTCTCTACAGAACTGAAAAAGTCATTTTTACTATGATCCCTAGAACCATTTCAAGCTTCAGATAAACTAACCACAACTGGACAGAAGGGGACCTTTAAAGTGTTCTCTTCAAAAGCTACCTGTTAATTCAACTTCATACAAATGGTTTCATCATCTTCTATTGTTTTGAAAAAATATATATGATAACATCCAGGCACAGAAAGTTACAGCAATCAGGGGAGAAAAAAAGAAAATGAATAGTAGTTTTAGAACACAAAAGGCACCTTCTTTCCCCCCATCTTAAATTCTTGCCTAACACCTCTCATTGTCTCTTCCTCTCTTCCCTGCCAACCCTTTCATGTCTATAGAATGTCCTCCATCACCCTGAGTGATACTGATGATATTGAAAGTCAAGTTCTTCAGGGGTTACTTGCCTTTCTTTGTGCACTTCCATCCCTCTTCCATGTGCACACTAAAGGAGAGCAGAATTAGGTCTTCCGAATGAAGGCCATTATAAGTAAAATTCCCTGCAGGGACAGACTTCTGAATTTTGTGAACTCTGTAGGGAATCAAGAAAATCTGAATTATAATAAGTTTCTTGAATAAAGGGATCTCCCAGGGAAAAAAAGAAAGTTTATTTTAAAAGTTCTTGCCACCAGAGATGAAAATCTCACCACTTCCACCCCCATCACACCCTCCCAATGCTTTCAATGACTATGGAGCCTGTATAACTGTCACAGCAAGAAAAGGTCTGTGGTCACACTCCAGATAACTTGAACAGAGGGATGTGTGGTTTAAAAAAAAAAAGAGTGTATTGCAGGTAAGCAGCAAGATGGGGAAAGTGAAAGCAGATTGTCTGAAATATCTATAAACACCTCTCTCTGGGCCAGCAATACCAGAGGGCACTAAGCACAAGTAGGTGGGAGAAAAACAGAGATGGCAAAGAGATAAGAGAAGATTAAAGAGTAGACAAAGTCTCCAACAGTAGATTAATGAAGTTTAGGGAGTAGTAGAATGAAGCCAAAAAAATTATTTAGTAGCCCTTGAGCCCAACATTTACCTTCTCCTATTTCATGATGATTAGTTCAGCCACCTGAATCAACCACTTCTATTAGTGACCACCAACTAATGGATTGGATGGCATTAAAGCCCATATCAACATAAAGAAAATCTGAAATATACAAATAATGGGCTATTAAATAGCCTTAAAAAAAGAAGAAACTCTTATCACATCCTATAATTTTAATTAACCTTGAAGATAGTGAAATAAACCATTGCAAAAACACAAATACTATATGATTCCACTCACATGAAGTATCTAACTTAGACATAGTATCAGAAACAGAAAGTAAATAGGTGGTTACCAAAGGGAGAGGAAAGAGAATTAGTGTTTAATAGGTATAAAGTTACAGTGTTAGAAGATAACAAAGGTGTAGAGATCTGTTGCACAATATGAATATACTTACTCTTGAACTATAAACTGCAAAATGGTTAAGATTGTAAATTTAATATTATTTTTCCAATAATAATAATAATAAATTTATGTAAACCAAACCTTCCATGGAGTTTTCCATGTTCTTTCACTGTTCTCATGCAAAGACACCATCAATAGTATACAGTCAGCAATTGGCTGTTGCAGCAGTCAAAACATAAGCATACTTAATTGGTAATGGTTTGCTCTACTCATGCATTTGAACCACATGCATTCCATCAATCCACTAGTCACAACCAGTCACTCTTTTTTTTTAATATTTTATTTTATATAGTTCTTACATCATTTTTCATTTTTGCACAATGTATGCATTTTCATTTTGGTTATATTTCCCCATACAATTGCACCCCCCCCTTATTTTGACCCTAATCCTTCCTCTCCCCACCCCCGTAGTGTGTCTCTGGTTTATAGTTGCTTGTTGATCTTGATTTTTTCTTTATTATAGTCAGTCTTTTTCCTGGTCCCTTATTTAGGTTTTCTAAATTCCTGCTATGAGTGAGACCATCCAACAACCAGTCACTCTTACTGATCCAAAGACTCCTACTGTAAATGTAGAAATGGGAATCGGGGGAAGAGCTGGTCTACACAAAGTAAAGGGAGAGCTTAGTGTACATCAACCCTGGCAGGAAGATGCTAACCTAGTCACACTCTTCTCAAAGACCTCCATATATTAATAACTTTCAATGTGAAAGTGCTTAAATTAGAAAATGATGTCTATTGAATAAAAATGAGCAAACTTGTTAATAGACATGCTTATGGGTTCAGAACACTTACTCGTTTCTTCAGGAGTGCTGGAGCATATTTTCCTTAAGTTCTCTGGACCATTGCTTAATCACCCACTTCCCTTTGGCCAAGGTAGCAGCAGGTCTAGTCAAAGAACATAGGCAATCCTGAGTGTGAGTCTAAGTGCTGTTGTTTATTAGCAGTGCAACATTAGGTAAGTTATTTAAGGCCTCTGTGCCTCAGTTTTCTTTTTTTAAGGTTTATTTTATTCATTTATGCATATAAGAACTGGGGTGTAGGCCAGAGGATTTACCAGAGATAGAGTGGGGAGCAGAACAGGTGGATTGACTGAAATACACTGCTGAGGGGAGCAGCACACAAGACAGGAGAGGTCTGCTGCGCCATGTGGGTAGCTCCCTGGCCGGGGATCGAACTCGTGCTGCAGTGGCTGTTGCTAGTTTCACGGTGCTAAGACTTTACCCCTTGTGCCACCAGGGAGGCCCTGTGCCTCAGTTTTCTTAACAGTTAATGTGGAGTGAAAACACCTATTGTTTCCTAAGGCTGTTGTGATAAGTAAGAAAACAAATATGAAAGAACTTTGTTTTTTTTGAAAGACACTTGCAACTATAAATTGTTAGTGTTGATCAGAACTGAAGGGAGAGGTCATGTGGCATTACATGTAACCTTGGCTTTTATGTGTTCATTTGCCACACCAGTTAGGTTGGTGGTATATGGAAATCAGGTGTCACAAACCTCGATCTATGCAGCAATCAAATTATGCTGTCACAGAGCATGAGATGGCAGTTAATGTTGTTCAGACTCTGATTTGACAGCAGCACCAAGCACCATAAAAAAGTTTTCTTTAGGAGTCCCTAGTGACTCTCCACATTACTTACCTGTAAATGAGTGATCCGTTGGAGTTTGTGACTGAAAATTACATAATAATACTAAATCAACCCTGCAATTAGTTGCTGTATCCATATTTTAGAATAGAGATCTGTTTTTGAGTCATTTACTCCATTCTCCTCTGAATTATGGTGATCTAGAAAAACAATTAATCATTTTTGTCTACTTCTTAGCCCAAAAATACTCTCCTTATAATTTCAGATTCAGCACTACACTTGGAAACAGACACCAGAATTTTAGAGCTGGTTAATTATTCCTCCTTATGAAGGGTAATTCAATAAATGACCCAATTGTTGATTAAGTGTCCTCACTTTTTTTTTTAAAATGTGAAAGCACTTGGAAAAGTATGAACTGCTTTACAAATACAAGGGATGATGTAAGATGTTAATTGGCATCTTCAGGAAATATTTTCTGTTGATTCATCATACACTTGCTAAAATAGGAACACGCAAGAACAAAATAAGTCTGCAAGGTGGTTATTCTGATTTTGTAATATCTGTGGTTGTCAGTCTCTAATTTAAATGCATTCCTGGATAAAGTTATTTACTGCTCATTCAGTTCAAACCTACTCTCCTCGCTCTATAAAATACAGGAAAACGCCTTCTGGAACTACAAGGGAGAGCCAAAACTTTCTCTAATCCTTTAAGAGAGGGTATTAAGAGACAAGAGCAAGTCTCTAGGATAGACTCTCCTTCAGAGTTATACCAATACAAGAAGACAGTAAAGCATAGTGGTCGGGAATACAACTAGGGTTTGAATCTTGGCTCAACTACTTGCAGAAATGTGCCTCTGGAAAAATTCCTTATCTGTAAATGGGGATCATAAAGTTATCTTCCTCTATAGGGGAGTCGGAAAGTGCCTGTCCCATGCATGCTTAATAAATTAGTAGTAGCAATAGTAGTAGTAAAAGCAGCAGCAGTAATAATATTTGACCTCTCATTCACAGAACAGAGAATTGAACTGATAATTCACTGAACTAAGATAAAAAGAAACCAGAACAAGTTTGGAACTGCTAAAGAAATTACGTAATCTTCCCCTCTGTCTTTTGTATATAGGTGTGTCTTTTGCATAGAGGCGTGCATGTACCTGTAGATGAGTTTGATGGGCTATAACAAGCATGTCCTCCACGGGCCAGTCTTATCCTGCTGTGACCCTCACAGAAAGTTCCTTGGCCTAATTCTCATGTGAAACTCTATCTAGATCACTTAAAGGATATCCACTATAGTCATCAAATATTGCCCCAAATCCTTCATTTTCTTTCTGCTTTCAAGAAGTATCATGCTGACTGTGGAGCTAAGGCTGAAATGTAGTGTGAGTTTCCTATGTCTATGAAATTGAGATATATAGATTTTAGATCATCTTCCATTTCTTTGAAATCAAGAGGTAAAGAGCAGTTCATTCAGTGGGTAGCCTACAGCCATCCTAGGTGGGTCAATTTCACAAAAAAATTAAATATTAGAGTAAATAAGTAAGAAGACAAGTTTATCTAGGTCAACAAAAGAATATGACTCTCCCAAGACAAAACCCGGAGACTCCCAGCTAAGTGAGAAATTAAAAGGAAGGAAGTCCCGAAGCCAGTGTGCTCATAAGATGAAAGCAGTATCCTAGGATTTTTAAAGCAAGTTTAGTCTGGGAGTTGCTTTGTCTAGGTAATGACCCTTCTGTTTTTATTAAGATACTCAGATTCCAAGCATGTCAATCAGTTAAAAATTTTCTAATCTATAAAGGCCCAAATTTAACCAAATGATAAATTGGAGAAAGCATTGCAAAAAGATTATCCCCAGAGTTCCTTGAAATATCATTTTTCTCCTCCAGATTCATTTAAACTCTTTCTTTTAAAATGACACTTTTCAGGCCTACATCTCTTTGTGTATTATATACACATGACACATACCTATGTCATGTTATAATGCAATGTGACTTCAATTTTTAAACATTTGTTAAGTCACAATCAGGGTATAATAATCTGTTATTGGAAATATTTGCATTGCTCCCTCCAAAGCGCCAGCTCTGGTTGTTTATATAAGAAGTAGAGAACAGCAGGCCAACATCTTCAACTCTAGCATATCCAAATTCTGCTGAAATGTCTGCACACAAGCAAATAGCCAGAGTTGTCAGGGGCCTTAAAATAAAAGTCAAGTACCGTGCTCAATGCTATATCGAAAACATAATTTATCACACAAATAAAACTCCCTCAGCAGTGTCCTCTTTCCACACAAAGGACAATGGCACGTTAGCTCTTATTAAAACTATTAAGCACCAGAGGAAAAGCATCTTCAAAGTTCAGGGAGAGTCACAAGATGCAAAGCTTGCAAACTACTTTAAACCACTCAGTCTTCCACACATTTTGCTCGGCAGGCGCCATGACCTGAAATAAATGTGAAATGCTCTAAAATATAAGGATATCTGGTTAGTAAATTCAGTGCTTAGTGTCAGAGGCTTATACGGCCAATATGCTGGCCTATGTCCCAATGGAAGCCAATTGACTAACTGTATTTCCTACTATACCTTTAAACATAGCTCTGCTCTCAGTTAACTATGGAAGGGGAAAATGTATAGACCAGGCCAACCCATCTTTATTAAAGGCAAACACAAACTCAAAGAGAATGTTCTATTGGTTGACTGACATCAGCAGTGTTGTCTTTTCATGTGGAAAAAAAAAAGTTAATATATTTGGAAAAGTGAAATGAAAGGACATAGAAAATTTTTACCCAAAAGTGACAAAAAAATATGCTCAAAAAACACACGAGAAATTTCTAGACAATAATGACAATAAACATGGAAGTTTCAGAGAGTAAGAAAAATTGACTATAATCACAACAAGCTTCATAAAATCCCAGCACAGTGGATTTATTTTATATGCATATTTTCTGGCTATGGCAGCTTCCTAGACTGGTAGATAAACAGGGTGCTCGTGACTGACATGTTCTCTAAGGCCAAGGTAGTCTCAGGTGGTTCTTGTTCGCCTTCTTGGGTTTTCTATTACCATCGGGCTGAAATAGGTATTGTTCTTCTGTCCTTGTATTTGGGTTCATCCTGTGAATAACAGTCTGGATGAGGTCAGGAAAATAGAAGCCACATTTTTTATTTTAACAGAGAGAATTTAATGTAGGGAATGAACTGCAGAGTTGTTAGACGGTTGAAAAGAGAAGAATATCTGTAAGAAGCAGCTACCATTTCTTGGACCGGGAAAACAAAAGAGAGCTTGGAATCGTAAGAACATAAAAAGATGGAGGATTTGCCCAGTGGACGTGGGACCTCCTTTACTCAGGAAGCCAGTTGGCAGCGTCCATACTGTTGAAGAGGCATAGGAAGACTGGTTCTCGGAGTATGGAAAAGAGTGGGAAAGGCAGCCAGCTCCTGCTGCAGGAATAAAGAGCTACCGCTGCAGCAGTGTTGTCCAGAAACAAGCAGGAAGGAGCAAATCCCTTCTCCCTCTTCCTGCCTCCCAGAATCCCTTTACTTCCCATATTTTCGGGACCTATCTGAAATCCAGCTGGCAAAAGAGAAATGTAGTTTTCAGAGTTGCAAGCCCCGCTTCACAAAGCAACTCCTTGAAGGGCTGAATTTGGGGCTGTGAGACAATAGCTTCATCGCCAGCACACTGTGCAGTGAGCTGTTAGATTTCCATGCCATTGTTGCTGCGGAGTACCTCAGACATGCTTCCCGTTTGAATGAAACTTTAATTAGAGTGGACCGTTTGCCACAGAGGATTTCATCATGACTGAATCCATAAGAAGCTGTTATTGGGAGACCTCAACCAGAGCTGTTCAATGAGTTTGCGAGAGTGATTCAGGCGCCCCTCTTGTTGAAGCTCGGGTACTCAGTATGCATTCCCGTTGTTTGCCTTTGTTCAGGCTCAAGTCTGTAGCCTGCAAGCCTCCTTAAATGATTCTGTACACATGGTAAGTGGTCAGGTGGCCAGTCTCCAGAGTTCTGGAAGGATGAAGCCTGAGCTGGGCCATCTGTTGAGTGCATGCTGTTTTGTAATGCACACAGGGAAGCGGTGGGCAAAACCCGGAAGCACACTGGAGGCCTAATGAAAATAAGACCAGTTAAATCTTCCCTCTGAATGTTCATTAGGCCATCTGCTCTTATTGGTGTCCTTATCATTTGGAAACATTATAGAGTTAAGATAAGAGAGACAATCTGGAATTCTAGTCTAACTTGAAATGAACTTTTGAGTAGAGTGATCATAACTTGTGATATTTCTCTTCCCATTCAGAACCCAGGCCACT